ACTACTTTACAACACACACAGGGATCATGGGGAACAAAAGTAGCCCCCACCAGAAGGAAGGACAGTGTCAGCCCCAATTCAGAGAGGATTTGAGGATCTACAGCCGAGTTACATAGTTACATAGTATTTGAGGTTGAATAAAGACATTAGTCCATCAAGTCCAACCTATTAGGATCTCATTCTAGGAGTACCTGTACCCCTGTATATTACGGTCCCTTAAGAAATCGTCCAAAAGTTTCTTGAACAATTCCACATTCTTTGCTGAAATCACTGTCTGTGGCAGTGAGTTCCAGACCCTAACTGATCTTACTGTGAAGAACCCCCTTCGCCCCTTGTGCTGGAATTTTTTTTCCACCAATTTTAGGTGGTGGTCTCTAGTTTTTGTAATGGAGTTAATTTTAAACAGTTTATCGCTAATGTTGCTGCCACCATTGAACATTTTGTACATGGAGATCATATCCCCCCTTAATCTCCTCACCTCCAATGTGAACATGTTTAAATTTAGTAGCCTTGTCTCGTAGCTCTGGTCCTCCATACCCCTAATTAGTTTGGTTGCCCTCCGCTGGACTTTTTCCAACTCAAGGACATCTTTTCTTAGTACTGGTGACCAGAACTGGACCGCGTACTCCAGATGAGGTCGAACCAATGATCTATAAAGTGGCAAAATTATAGACTTGTCCCTGCAATACATCCCCTTCTTAATACAGGACAAGACCCTGCTAGCTTTGTTTACAGCAGCCTGGCACTGCAAACTACCTTTCAGTTTGTGGTCTACAATGACCCCCAAATCCTTCTCCATTTCTGACTTCCCCAGCGGCATACCCATAATTGTATAACCCATTTGTTTATTTTTTATTCCAAAGTGCATTACTTTGCATTTATCGACATTAAACCTCATCTGCCACATTAATGCCCACTCCCAGTGATACACAAATAAGATACATTTATGTTAATAGTTGAGGTACTTGAATGGATTTTAGTGGGTTTAGTGTCACTTTAATAATAATATGACTGTTCATAATGGCATCACATTTTGAGCACTAAGCTATTTGCTGGATTCTTCGTTTCAGAACGTGATCACACAACAGAATCCTTCAGACTTGATAAAAGTGAGAGAGGTGATGTATGGCAGTGTATTTCCTGCTCCCTCTCCCCTTTGTATTGATCACATTGTAGATCACTAATCTTCCATTGTATTGAATTATGAGAAGGTAAAGCGGCTCCTGTAAAGGAGATTGATGGTAGGAGTTCTGTAACCAGGTAACGTCCTTAGTATATGATTTCCAGTCCTGATGGATCTTCTCTACTTCTTTCTGCTTTTACAATGATTATCATGTTCTTTCGTAGGGACAGGGAAAGGGGAACGGTAATTTAACCCCTTGCTGCTGACGCTCTAAAGCCGGCCTCCAAGTAACACAACGGAAAGGTATTAGGGGAAGTCCTCCAATGGGGCATCTGTTTCTTTGACATCGTGAGATGGTAATCATTTCCTCTCATTTCCTGTTGTGTATCCTGGACAGGAAATGAAGGAAAATCTCCTCAGCTAGAAACAGACCGCAAAAAAAACTAGGGATGCATCAGTATCGATATTGGTGACAATACTGGGCATTTTCATGAGTACTCGTATACCGAGGTGTACATCCTTCTCTTCCCCCGATATACCGAGGTGTACATCCTTCTCTTACCCCCGATATACCGAGGTGTACATCCTTCTCTTACCCCGATATACCGAGGTGTACATCCTTCTCTTCCTCCGATATACCGAGGTGTACATCCTTCTCTTCCCCCGATATACCGAGGTGTACATCCTTCTCTTACCCCCGATATACCGAGGTGTACATCCTTCTCTTACCCCGATATACCGAGGTGTACATCCTTCTCTTCCTCCGATATACCGAGGTGTACATCCTTCTCTTACCCCGATATACCGAGGTGTACATCCTTCTCTTACCCCCGATATACCGAGGTGTACATCCTTCTCTTACCCCGATATACCGAGGTGTACATCCTTCTCTTCCTCCGATATACCGAGGTGTACATCCTTCTCTTCCCCCGATATACCGAGATGTATATCCTTCTCTTCCCCCAATATACCGAGGTGTACATCCTTCTCGTACCCCGATATACCGAGGTGTACATCCTTCTCTTACCCCACTATACCAAGGTGTACATCCTTCTCTTCCCCGATATACCGAGGTGTACATCCTTCTCTTACCCCGATATATCGAGGTGTACATCCTTCTCGTACCCCGATATATCGAGGTGTACATCCTTCTCGTACCCCGATATATCGAGGTGTACATCCTTCTCGTACCCCGATATATCGAGGTGTACATCCTTCTCGTACCCCGATATATCGAGGTGTACATCCTTCTCGTACCCCGATATATCGAGGTGTACATCCTTCTCGTACCCCGATATATCGAGGTGTACATCCTTCTCGTACCCCGATATATCGAGGTGTACATCCTTCTCGTACCCCGATATATCGAGGTGTACATCCTTCTCGTACCCCGATATATCGAGGTGTACATCCTTCTCGTACCCCGATATATCGAGGTGTACATCCTTCTCGTACCCCGATATATCGAGGTGTACATCCTTCTCGTACCCCGATATATCGAGGTGTACATCCTTCTCGTACCCCGATATATCGAGGTGTACATCCTTCTCGTACCCCGATATATCGAGGTGTACATCCTTCTCGTACCCCGATATATCGAGGTGTACATCCTTCTCGTACCCCGATATATCGAGGTGTACATCCTTCTCGTACCCCGATATATCGAGGTGTACATCCTTCTCGTACCCCGATATATCGAGGTGTACATCCTTCTCGTACCCCGATATATCGAGGTGTACATCCTTCTCGTACCCCGATATATCGAGGTGTACATCCTTCTCGTACCCCGATATATCGAGGTGTACATCCTTCTCGTACCCCGATATATCGAGGTGTACATCCTTCTCGTACCCCGATATATCGAGGTGTACATCCTTCTCGTACCCCGATATATCGAGGTGTACATCCTTCTCGTACCCCGATATATCGAGGTGTACATCCTTCTCGTACCCCGATATATCGAGGTGTACATCCTTCTCGTACCCCGATATATCGAGGTGTACATCCTTCTCGTACCCCGATATATCGAGGTGTACATCCTTCTCGTACCCCGATATATCGAGGTGTACATCCTTCTCGTACCCCGATATATCGAGGTGTACATCCTTCTCGTACCCCGATATATCGAGGTGTACATCCTTCTCGTACCCCGATATATCGAGGTGTACATCCTTCTCGTACCCCGATATATCGAGGTGTACATCCTTCTCGTACCCCGATATATCGAGGTGTACATCCTTCTCGTACCCCGATATATCGAGGTGTACATCCTTCTCGTACCCCGATATATCGAGGTGTACATCCTTCTCGTACCCCGATATATCGAGGTGTACATCCTTCTCGTACCCCGATATATCGAGGTGTACATCCTTCTCGTACCCCGATATATCGAGGTGTACATCCTTCTCGTACCCCGATATATCGAGGTGTACATCCTTCTCGTACCCCGATATATCGAGGTGTACATCCTTCTCGTACCCCGATATATCGAGGTGTACATCCTTCTCGTACCCCGATATATCGAGGTGTACATCCTTCTCGTACCCCGATATATCGAGGTGTACATCCTTCTCGTACCCCGATATATCGAGGTGTACATCCTTCTCGTACCCCGATATATCGAGGTGTACATCCTTCTCGTACCCCGATATATCGAGGTGTACATCCTTCTCGTACCCCGATATATCGAGGTGTACATCCTTCTCGTACCCCGATATATCGAGGTGTACATCCTTCTCGTACCCCGATATATCGAGGTGTACATCCTTCTCGTACCCCGATATATCGAGGTGTACATCCTTCTCGTACCCCGATATATCGAGGTGTACATCCTTCTCGTACCCCGATATATCGAGGTGTACATCCTTCTCGTACCCCGATATATCGAGGTGTACATCCTTCTCGTACCCCGATATATCGAGGTGTACATCCTTCTCGTACCCCGATATATCGAGGTGTACATCCTTCTCGTACCCCGATATATCGAGGTGTACATCCTTCTCGTACCCCGATATATCGAGGTGTACATCCTTCTCGTACCCCGATATATCGAGGTGTACATCCTTCTCGTACCCCGATATATCGAGGTGTACATCCTTCTCGTACCCCGATATATCGAGGTGTACATCCTTCTCGTACCCCGATATATCGAGGTGTACATCCTTCTCGTACCCCGATATATCGAGGTGTACATCCTTCTCGTACCCCGATATATCGAGGTGTACATCCTTCTCGTACCCCGATATATCGAGGTGTACATCCTTCTCGTACCCCGATATATCGAGGTGTACATCCTTCTCGTACCCCGATATATCGAGGTGTACATCCTTCTCGTACCCCGATATATCGAGGTGTACATCCTTCTCGTACCCCGATATATCGAGGTGTACATCCTTCTCGTACCCCGATATATCGAGGTGTACATCCTTCTCGTACCCCGATATATCGAGGTGTACATCCTTCTCGTACCCCGATATATCGAGGTGTACATCCTTCTCGTACCCCGATATATCGAGGTGTACATCCTTCTCGTACCCCGATATATCGAGGTGTACATCCTTCTCTTACCCCGATATACCGAGGTGTACATCCTTCACTAAGCTCCAAGTCACAATTCACTTTTCCCACGTTGCTTCTCCTCTGTGCAGAGATCATGTACATGTGTATTTCCTACAAGCTGACTGCCGCCCACATCCGTGACGTCCAGACAAAGCCGATCCAGCCCAGGACTTGTCTCCGCCCCCCAATGTAAAAAACGAAAATAAGAAGTGTGATATGGCTCCGGAGAACACCAGAGCTGGAGGACGGGGAGAGGAGCGCAGACCACTGGAGGTGACAACCGCGAGCCAGTAACGGGGAGAAAGCCGGGGGTCCCACTGTGCCGCTCTCTTCAGGGGTGTACGGTAAGAGAACAACAACAACTCTACAGTGGTGTCTGCCAAGTATAAATCGGAACACACATGCTACAATCTGATTGTACAAGCTCCTGTAGATTGCTGCCGCGGTACACTGGCCATACGCTGTACAATCTGATTGTAAAGTTCCTTTAAACAACTATGTAATAAGAGGACAAACCTAAACAACTCGTTCACTTTGTATGGACTCAGACCGGCTCTTGTACTACATAATCAATGGTGCCTCTAAAGGAGATTGTACAATCAGATTGTATAGTGCATGGTCATCTTAAACCTGGCTACACACACTACAATCTGATTACACAATCTCCGTACATTCTACTTTATGTTTACCAAAACTATGTAATATAAGGACAGACCTAAACAGTCCATTCGTATCGAATTAGGCAGGCCCTTGTACTACATAGTTGATGGTAGATCTAAGGAGATTGTACAATCAGATTGTATAGCATTTGGTCCTCTTAAGCTCACCACACATTGTACAATCTTCTTTAGATCTGCCAATAACTATGTACTACAAGGGACTGCCTGATTTCATTCAAACTGTTTGGTTAGTTTAGGTCAGGGGTAGGCAACCTCAGCAGTCCAGCTGTTGTGGAACTACAAGTCCCTTGAGGCATTGCAAGACTCTGACAGCCACAGACATAGCTCCTAGAGGCAGACAGAGATTGTACATTTAGTCTATAATGTGTATAGTGATCATTAAAGCTGGCTGTACACTGTACAATCTGATTGCACAATCTTCGTACAATCTACTTTACCATGCAATAGATGAGCCTTCCTAATCTATCCAATCGATTTTATATCCAATCAGGTAGGCCCCTGCACTACATAGCTGATGATAGATCAAAAATGAGATTGTACAATCAGATTGTGTAGTATATGATCAGCTTAAGGGGTCCCTGATTGGTTATGGATTGGTTGGATTTTCTCAGTAAGCCCCCATACTGCACGGCTGCTGGTCAATCGAATTGTACAGATACTATGCTATGAGATTTATAATGTATAGATTTAGAACCTTCAACTCCTCCAGCTCATGCCTTGTGATCCTGACCGCACTTGTGAACCCGTATACTATGAAAGATGCCATAAATAACCGTATACCCGCGTTTCGATGGGGTAGATGAAGGAAATTCCCACTGTTCAATGTTCCTGGAAATTTCTAGAGCGTCTGCTTCATGAACACATCACATGACTCTGACTCTTCAAAGGTTGTCAAGTGTATGGAAAGAGAATCCCATGTAGCCTCCTGGAAGTGGATAATGACGTAGTATATGTATGAGTGTAAAGCCGGCCATACACTGGCAGATTTATGAATGAGCGTTGACCCTGGGGTGTCTTTTGGGTTCATCAGGGGCGCCTTCGAGTGTCATGCATTTGTGTGGTTCAGTCAAGCCGGCCACCTCCTTCCAAACATGCTCCGCCTTCTGTCCTCTGCCATGTTGTCTCAGCCACACTGGTGGAGGTTGTAAAGCATGACTCTGATGTGAAGGGGGGATTGAGCAGGACTCAGAAGTGCATGGGGGATTGAAGACTCTGATGTGAAGGTTGGACTGAGCAGGACTCGGATGTGAACGGAGGACTCTGATGTGAAGGTGGGACCGAGGACTCTGATGGGAAGGTTGGACTGAGGAGTCTGATGTGAAGGTTGGACCGAGGAGTCTGATGTGAAGGTTGGACCGAGGAGTCTGATGCGAAGGTTGGACCGAGGAGTCTGATGTGAAGGTTGGACTGAGGAGTCTGATGTGAAGGTTGGACCGAGGACTCTGATGTGAAGGTTGGACCGAGGACTCTGATGTGAAGGTGGGACCGAGGACTCTGATGTGAAGGTTGAACTGAGGAGTCTGATGTGAAGGTGGGACTGAGGAGTCTGTTGTGAAGGTGGGACTGAGGAGTCTGTTGTGAAGGTTGGACTGAGGAGTCTGTTGTGAAGGTGGGACTGAGGAGTCTGTTGTGAAGGTGGGACTGAGGAGTCTGTTGTGAAGGTGGGACTGAGGAGTCTG